AATCAATGGCCTAGGACCTAAATACATTGCAGATATGCTCACTGAATATAAACCTAACAGACCACTCAGATCATTAGGTTCGAGTCAGTTAGAAATACCAAGGGTTCACACAAAACAAGGGGAATCTGCTTTTAGCTATTTTGGGTTAAATGCTATTTGGCAGTTGAAATCAGCTCCCAGAAGGAATCAGATGTGCTAAAACATTAGCCACATTTAAATCTAGACTCAAAACTCATCTGTTTAGCTGTGCATTTATTGAATGAGCACTGTGCGATGTCCGAACTGATTGCACTGTATTTTATGTATAATCATTTTCTATTTTTATCTGTCTTAAATTCGTTTTAAATCAATTTTTAAATCATTTTCAAAGTTTTTTAATTCCTTGTTTTATTCTTGTGATTATTTTTTATGATTATTTTACTTTCTTTTATGTAAAGCACTTTGAATTACCATTGTGTACGAAATATCCTATATAAATAAACTTGCCTTGCCTTGCCTAGTGTAGTGTAGTGTACTATAGTGTAGTGTAGTGTAATGTATTGTAGTGTAGTGTAGTGTATTGTAGTGTAGTGTATTGAAGTGTATTGTAGTGTAGTGTATTGTAGTGTAGTGTATTGAAGTGTATTGTAGTGTAGTGTATTGTAGTGTAGTGTATTGAAGTGTATTGTAGTGTAGTGTATTGTAGTGTAGTGTATTGAAGTGTATTGTAGTGTAGTGTATTGTAGTGTAGTGTATTGAAGTGTATTGTAGTGTAGTGTATTGTAGTGTAGTGTATTGAAGTGTATTGTAGTGTAGTGTATTGTAGTGTAGTGTATTGAAGTGTATTGTAGTGTAGTGTATTGTAGTGTAGTGTATTGAAGTGTATTGTAGTGTAGTGTATTGTAGTGTAGTGTATTGAAGTGTATTGTAGTGTATTGTAGTGTAGTGTAGTGTATTGAAGTGTAGTGTAGTGTAGTGTATTGTATTGTAGTGTAGTGTAGTGTAGTGTATTGTAATGTATTGTAGTGTAGTGTATTGTAGTGTAGTGTCAGTGTATTGTATTGTAGTAGTGTAGTGTATTAGTGTAGTCACTGTAGTGTAGCGTCGGAGCTGTCGGGCTCTAGGACCCAGCGCGCCGCTCTCGCCGGACTCTCTCCGCAGGCTGGAGTCTCTCGCTGTGGGGAGTGTAGTGGAGGAGAGGCGAGGACACGCTCGTGCTCATCAAAAGACTTTTACCTGTTTTCTGCGGGATTAAAGTAGCACCCGAAGCAGCGAGCTCCTCCACAGCAATGCGCCGGAGCCCTCAGTGAAACCCGTCTCGGTAAAGTCTCTCTCCATTCAGTTTGATGGCAGTTATTGAAGCTCTGCTGCTCAATAGGATGCGGTTATTTCTCTCTCAGAGGCCTAAAATAAAAGACTCCAGCTGTCAAATGAGAGCGCTCCACCTGGGGTGAATGAAAGTACTAGTTTAGCTGCTGGTTAAAGCGGTCATCTCTAGTTTAGGAAGCGCAGGAGCGTCTTTATTCGGCTCTTTATTCAGCTGTCAGTTGTTACTTTTTGTGTCACCTTAAGCGCGCACGCGCAGTCCCAACGCTACAATGTTACAATGTTTAAATGTTGCAGTATTCGAATGTTACAGTGTTTCTCTCGCCATTCTCTGCCGTTCTCTATACATCCCGCTGTCTGCACGGGACTGTCCTGCTGTTTACAAACGACATGTGCCTAAGGGACTGAGAGACGGTGTGTCTGTATCTTCCTGTTCATATTTTATCACACTGTAATCTGAGGTGCTTGTGTTTATGTCTAAAGCACAAATTACCATAGTACTACCATGTTGTTTTGACACGTGCCGTGCTATTCTTTGAAGAGCATTGGAGTAATATGGAAATGAATGAATGGATTACTGGATAGATGAATTCTAATGCTAAAGTCTGTCTGTAGAGAGGCTGGTTTGGATGGACTGTCAAATGTCACATGACTGGAGCTGAAGATGCTGACAGTATAATGAGAGGACCGCTGACTGTAAACACTCACAAGCGCTGCTTTTGGTGATTTGTGGTTCTGTGCTGTGACTTCATCTAATCATGATGGATCTTGTGTACTTCAGGCTTGTTTAGTCTTTGATTCTTGATTGTTTTTGATTATAGATTATGTGGAGCATTGGGTTGGGTGTACAGTACCAGAGTTTACACACACACACACACACACACACCTACTCGTTCTGCTCGATTTTCACATTTTAGAGTAATAGTGAAGTCAGTTAATCTATGAAATCACACAAATGGAAATATATGAATGATTTAGTGATCCAAACATGTAATGCAACTTCATAAAGTTCAAATAGTACATAAAAAATAATAATAAAAAGTACATTAATGAAAGAAACTTTATATGTACTATCTTTAAATAGTACATAAAAACGTGTGTATATTAAAATATTACATGTGTGTATAAATAAATTCTTACATGTGTATGTATATATAGAAAGTTTTAGTTGATTTTTGATGAACTATTTACAGAC